CCACGGCTTGCACAGTGGAGGGAGGCAACGCAGCTTCTCTGAGGTCCAGAAACAGCAAAACGAACGTGCGTCTTGTAACGCTTGCTGGTACAAAACGAGCCGGCAGCAGGGAACTCCTGTGGGCCTGAATTTCCTCTTAAGGCAATACCTAAAACCTGCTTGCGGGAGGAGGGCAGGGTGTGCCGTTCCTCGGAAGTGGAAAGATCCCTGTGCATCTTCCCCCAGAAGTGCTTTGTGGACAGCTCTGACTTGATTTGTATACATAGGCTTGGTTTAAGCATGTGTCATAGGTGGAGGTTGTGTTAGGGAGGGCTTATCCGTATGGAGCGTAAAATGAGAGCACGCACCCCTTTTTGAAACGGCCGAAGGCACGGTCGGTGGTGCGGTGCCCCAGGACAGCAGCACCTTCCCTCCCCTTGGCCGCTCGCTGTCGCCGTTCTGTCCCGTTGGCTCTTCTGCCTCTGAAACGGGGACGCTGCTGCCTGGCAGGAGCACCTGGCTGGTGCATTTTGTTTTCTGGAGTTGACTTTGCCATTTAGGATAACTGATTTTAACCCAAAATTGCCTGCTTTTTTACTTAGGGATGCACTGGAGCCCATCCCAAGGGCTTGGGCTGATGTAACACAAGATTTATTTTTTCTCCCCCTGCCCTTCTGCAGTCGTATTAAACTAACCACTGGTTTTTAGGAAGAAGTGTTTACCTCTGACAAATCATCATGTTGATAAAGTTTCTTCCTGTAGTTTCCTAAAGGCTGTGTGTTTCCGCTGGAGAGGAGGACACGTTACAGCACTTCTGGGAGCCCGGCACCGGTTTGAGGCCACAGCCACAAAGGGCAGGATTTGGGGAGGTCTGCCATGGATGGGGAGAGGGATCCCGTTCTTCCCTCACCCCCTTCCTGTGAAGCCCCGCAGCCTCCCACAGTATTTATAGCCCTGCAGGCTGAGCTCAGCTCCCTGCTTGTTGTTCCTCCTCCGTCCCAGCCTCCCGGCCCTCTTGGGCACCTTCCGGGCATGTGCGGGTTCCCTCCGTGTGAGGAGACGTAAGGCTGCTAATTCTGCACGCACGCACTATTTACGATAAGCACCATCTGCTGAAGTTTGCAGGACGCTGTCCTTGTCGGTCAAGCCGAGTGCCACGCGCAGGCGAGGGGTGGCTGTTGCTCCCGTCTCGTCTGCTGAGGCCGCTCTCCTGCGCACACCGGTGCCTGCGGAAGGGGATTGAGTCTGCCTGGGAAATTGGTTTTTTTAAAAGGATCAGGCTCTTAAATAATTAATTTTCTATGCTGTTCCATGAGCTTACCCTCCTGTCCCAGCTGGAGGGGCCGTCCTGTGCCATCCTGCGTAGCCTATTTTGTGCACGCTCTTGTAATCGCACGGAGCACACCCGTGCAGGAGCACGGTGAACGGTTTCCCTTGGAGGACGCAGGATTTAACTGCTTTGCTGCTGCTTGCATCCCTCCCCGCGCCAGCTGTGCCTCTCGAAGCCCAAGACCGCTCTCAAGACGAGCCGTGCAGCCCACTTGCAGCGACACCGCTCTCAGCAGCCATCTGGCCGTCTCTTCAGTCTTGTTCAGCCTAATCCAAAACCCGTTTCGGGCAAGTGCAATAAACTCTTTTATTAAATATCATGTTAAAGTCTCTAATGTTTAGAGAGAAAGGAAGTGGGTTTGTCTCCCCCCAGAGCGGGGTGTCCTGTTGATGTTTCAGGTGATGCTGTGTTTCGTGTGTGGCTGCTGCTTTCTAGCGCTAGTTGAGAAAATAATCGTTCTTGCAGAATACTTGTATAGAGATTAAAGCTACAGAAGCTACATAGCTTGTTATCCAAAAGCAGATCTACATGAGGAAAGCACATATATGTTGCTGGCAGCACACTGCAACAAAGGGTGTGATTGAACGGGCTCTGAAAAAGGCTTAATTCTAAATATAGAGGGCCACACTACGCTCAATACTGTTTTGGAAAGTGTGGCTGAGCCATCATTATGCGTCTTCCCCTCCTCCACCTATGCCGCAGGGTGTCAGAGGATGAAGTATACGGTACTGTGTTTCACTTTCTTAGTTTATTTTTGGTTTAATCCAGCGGGTTTTCTTGGGTAGGATGTGTCCTGATTTTAAGGTGAAGAGCAGGTCTGCTGCTGCTTGCTCTGCCCTGTCACTTAGGAATCTAAATGGGCGTAAAGTGGTTTTTATACTTAATTTCTGTGTAATCTGAGGAAAAGAATGAGATGTGTTTAACAGAGCAGGCCAGTATTGTTCCAGCAGACATAGATGCTCTGTAACATTGCAGAGACAGGCAAAGGAGCTGGCAGTTCGGAGGTGCTTTCGGCAGCTTTTGGTATTTCTAAGACCAATTCCCAATGCTACATAGATCCCAGAGAGCAAACTGAAGCCTGCTGAGGTCTGGCTTAGAGCCCTAAACTTTCTAGGGGTCCGGATAGTCTGTTGCATCTACAGATGCTGAAAATGCCATAAAAGCAGACGCAGCCACTGCGGAGGTCTTTCCTGGTTTTGAGCTATAAAAGAAGATGAACTCCAGTAAATTTGTTCTTAGCTTCTGAAATGAGGGTATGGTAGGATTTCACTGAAACTTGGCTGGCAGAGGAGTAATGTGTTCTGGAAAGTTTTGTGGGAAGCTACGACATGAAAACACTGTCAGTCTTGAGGGTGCTAGTCAGAGCAACGGCGCTTTTCCAGCGATGCTCAGAGAAACGTCTCTGTGAGATAAGGGGATGTGCTTCCCAAACACCGCGCTCCTACCCTCCGGTGTCGTGGAGGGGATTTCGTGCCGTTTAGGCTCAGGCTGGAGATCCCTTGTGGGGAGGAGGGACCGTAAAGCTTGCAAGGCCTTATCCTTCTCGGAACAGAGTAAAGCGTGACTGGGCCGGAGGTGGGGATTAGAGCCGTGCGATCGGGTGATGCTGGGGTGCTGCTGGCAACTGCTCAGCCCGTTGTAAACCTGATTAACCCTGTGGTCACTCTGCCTGGCTGGTAGGGTAGGTCAGACCTTTACCCAGCCCCGGTGCTCAGCTGCCTTGGCCGCCTTTTGTCTCAGGCTCTGCTGACTCTGTCCTCTCTGTAACTGATGGAGGATTAAGATCTGACCTTGCTGTGGCATCCAGCTACAATAAATACTAAAATTTCCACCAAACATAAGGTCAGCATTGATCAAAATAGAGCAGGCACTTTTACACAGGGAAATATTCCAGAGAGAAGGACTTAAGCTCCTAAAAGTGCTCTGAAAATGGTCTTGGAGAGGGCTGGGAGGATGGTAGGCAGCGGATACAGTTGCCCGTTTTGGTGGAAATCTGGCCTCGGCTAAATTGGCACTGAAGTGACGTCACCCACGCAGCTGGGAGGTCCGGCAAGAATATGGAGAAGGTGTCTTGTTCTAAATTTGTGGGTTTTGCTTGCAGTTTGAATGAACCAACTCTTCCTTTTCAGGGTATTTCTGTTAGTTGATTTGAAACTTGTAACAACCCTCGTGCTTTTTTTTTTTTCTCTCTCTTTTTTTCTCTCTCTTCCTTCTGGCAAGTGCATTTCATAACAGTACACCTAAATAAGGGCAGATGCATAGGAGGTGTAGATTTTTTTTTTTCCCCTAAGAACTTGATTATTGCTGTTGCTGACCATCTCTGCAGCTGGGGGTGCTTCAGTGGTAAATCTGAGCCACGTGCTGGTTTCAGATTTGAAACGGGTTAATCTCAGCAGAAGACTTCTGCTTAGATTTTGAAAGAAAAATCTGGACATTGCTGTGGCTTCCTTGCCCCGGGTGCTCTCACTGGGTTCAAAAATGCTACAGAAGGAGAGGGAGATGGGCAAAAGCAATTACTTTGTGATTAATCTTAGTTGCCAAACATCCACATGTGGCAAAGGCTTTGTGCAGTGGCACTGGATTTGTGCCTGCATTTTCTGCTGATGCTTTGTTTCTGCACCATGTTGTGGTTTTCTTCCTTTCTGGATAGTCTTTAATATTTATCCACTGGAATCAGCATGCTTAGGGTATATTTTCATAATATTACAACTTTTAATGTGGGAGAGTGGAGCCGTGGATTTATATGTACCTTACTGTCTTTGTGTTCCTTTCTGCCCTGGAGTGAGGTAGTAGAGAGTAAGGGTGTTTTTGTAACAGTTGACCGTAAAATGCAATGGTGTGGTCCATGCACTAGTAAAAGCATATTTAGGGTCCTGCAGAACCGTACTTTGTGTTGGCAGCAGAGATAAAGGTGGTAGGAAATCGGTCAAGAGTTGGAAAGCGTGTGGGTTTCCCCCATGCACCCACGCATGCTCGCCTTCTCTCACATCACGCCTCTGAGCCCCGGAGATAAGGAGTCATTGTTCACTTGGTAATTTTGTGATGTTTTTGCCTGGCTTCTTTGTCTGCTCAGTCAAGCCATCAGATGCTGAAATCAAGTTTACTGTTGCCCACTTTCCTTTGCAACACCTCGTTGCAGGGGAGCAGCTTGTGCAAGGCACTGTTAGCTCTGTTGCTTGTCTCCAAACAGTGGTTACTCTTAAAACTGAATGATGATGCGTTGTGAAACTTGCCACTGAGTTTTAATTGTGGCCACATGGTACACGTTGGTGTTCAGGCGTGTTTTGTGACTGATGACAGAGGTCTTTTTTTAAAAGAGGCGATGTCAAGGAAGGGAGGGCAGATGGGGTTTGTTTTCTCCAAGACTTGGAAAAGTGGGTCTGGCAGATGTGGTCAGGTAGGACTGGAGCTGTTGGTTCAGCTAAGCGTGGAATAAGATCTTAATGCTTGCATAGGCAGGATTTCAATCACTGGGTACCAAAAGTTGTTTTAATACTGCTCTGCAGAGGCATGGCTTTCATAGCATGTCTGTAGTTGGGTTGGTAATTATTAGCAGTGGCTAGATGGTATCAGTTGTGCCATTCAGTATGTAGCTTTTGATCTATCTGTCAGTTCTGCTAGAGTTTTTTGTGGACTTTATAATTAAAATCACACTCAAAATAATCCCCCCATCCCCTCTCTGTTTTTCCAGGAGGCGAAGGGCAGAGTGGAGATGGGCAGCAGACCGTGCAGCCATCGTCAGTCGCTGGAATTGGCTCCAAGCCCACGTCTCGGACCTGGAATACCGAATCCGGCAGCAAACGGACATTTACAAGCAGATTAGAGCCAACAAGGTGAGGACCGGGGGTGCATTTGGATATGTGTGACTTTGCTTTGTCTGCCTCCAAATGGCGCGCTCTTCTGATGCAGTGGAGAGTGTGTATGCAAAGGCTGATGCTTTTTTTCCCCCTGCATCACTCAGAAAGCACACTGCACAGTTGTGACTAATTGTAGTGCTATTTGGCATGGGCCGAGTATAATTCTTCGCCCTGGTTCGATATGGTAACGTGAAGAGAGCAACACCTTCCTTTAAAGTCAGTCTTTGGGTACTGGACAAAACTGTTGCTTTTGCATGCATGTTGCTGTTCCCCATTGTCCGAGCCTTTCTCTTTCTGTATTTTTTTTTTTTTTTTAAGAACTTTCCCATTCTTTCTTTTTGGGAGTAGCTGAAGATGGGGGTAAGGAGCAACTTAACAAGAGACTTACTGGGGAAGGGAGGGGACTGTGGAGGAAGTTAGCTTCAGATGCTATCGCATAACACAGGCTGTATTGTTAAAAAAAAAAAACAAAACTCTTTCTAGGTGCTGACCTTTCTCTGTGGAAGGAATTATTTTTTTCAGACTTGCTCTCAGATGGTGGGAGAATGGGGGAGAGCAGAGAAGGGATGAGGAAGGAATTGTTATCGAGACTTGTTCAGGCATGCACGTCTAAATGTCAGGCCTTGGAGGGAGGAATGTCTGGAGTTTGTGGCAAGAAGGCTCATGGTATTGCATCAACTTACAGATCCTCAGGAATTCAGAGCCCGGCAAATGCTTTTCCCAGGATGTGTGGTGGGGAGGAAGCCCAGGCAGGGGAGGGAGGCTGAACTTTTATGCAGCTATGTAGAAAAACAGGGTAATTGAGTGAGTGAGGGCTATAAATGCTGAGGTGGAAG